AGAGACCGCGCGTTGGTTGATGGGAATCGGCGCCATTTTCGGCTATGTTCCTTGTCATGACTTTATTTTATTGCATACTGTTTTATTGTTAGTCAATGCTATGTTGTGTATTGTATTTTTGGAATCATGGTGATACAGTCAACAATTCAAAACTTGTTTGTGCTTTTATCTCGTGATGGAAAAAATGTACTTTACGTTCAAAATTTGAATTTTAAAGTTTTCGCGGTTAAGGAAGCTTTAACCACTGGGTTGGAGCTTCCTAGTCATATTACTTGATATCAGCTGATAGCAAACAAAGGTTACCAGGGAAACCGTAAACGTCTAACAACTATCGTGGCCATTGGGGCGATTATTGAAATGATATCGACTGTATGTCGCCGCTTACGACAGGACATAGCCCTGTCTTAACTGTGTAATATATTGCAATTCGATATTGTTTTGATTTTTAAAAGGAGCTGAAAAATGTCTGCTAAAGCTTTCATGCGCTTCTCCTTGTATGCATGAATGAGCAAATTGGGTATCGAACAAGCGGACACTTTTTGAAAATTTAGATGATTCTGGACAATATCGTACAGAAGTCCACGAGCTGCAGATAGAACCATTACCTCTAGCTCATCAAAAGTTATTCGAAGATCATTCAACAACCTCTTTGACAAGTTGCAAAAACTTTTCGTTAACAATAGTGTCACACGGTACAAGGAATATTTACTATTTAACGAACCTTATATTTCCCTGACTCAGTCCTAAATTTTAGAAGTATGCGTTACTTTTCCAGCAATCCAAAAAAACAATTATACAAAAAACCAATACCTACACTTTCAGATATAAAAATGCAAATTTTGCAGCCTCGCTAAACGACTTATCAACCAGAGATTTTTTAGGAAGCGGACCTCCAAAGAGCTTTCAAAATTAAAAGTATACAACAAGTGATAATGCCATGTATTCGCCATATCAAAGCCCAATACACATTTATACACCGGCTACGTAAATCTGCTAAGTTACAAAACATGAATCGACAGTTGTCGGATTGTACATCAATGACAAAATGTGTCTAGGCCCTCATTCTTGACTACAACTACTGCCCCCAGAGCCGCTCTCCGACGCCAATGCGTTGGAGCTTCCTGCTTGTTATTTTATCCCAAACGTTGCATTATTTTAAATATAAGTAGAAAGACTTGGTGCTCAAGATTCTCCATGAAAACATTTTTTAAAATACATAATGCCTTTTTTATTTTGTTGAAAACTCGGAGTAAAGTCCAAAAAATTTAAAATCCAAGAAATTGTTTCGCCCTGTAACATTAGCGCATACGTCCTCTCTAAGACAAGCCAGAAACATAGGAGTTTCTCACAGCAACATGAAGTCCGTTTGGCTACAGATAGGAAAAGTGAAAAAGGGGCGATTTATAAGTTAAGTCACATAAAAATTTAGAATTTCAGATCCCTCGTCACACACGAAATTAAAATCCGGCAACATTTGAATGCTCATACGATGCTCTTCCTTAGCACGGCGGGGCATCCGGCTGAATATGCGAGGAACGCACCTATCCCTGCGAGAGCGGGCCTATCTACTGCCAAAATCTCCACCGACGCGACGCCGACGCTCAGATTTAAGGGCTTAACTGGTTGTCCGAGTCGAGCCCTATCTGCCATATAACTCCATACTCACCAGGGTCCACGTCAAAAGAAAAATCCGCTCTCACGTCAGACAAGTGACGAAATGTCACGACGATGACTCAGAGGCCAGACTAGTTTCGAATCCAACCGATGTAGCGCCACAGCAAGTCTTTTCCCCCGTGAGCCCTAAAGCTCGTAAGAAAGCGCGCAGTTCAGGGTTCGTCCAACGGTCGACATGCTCGCTTTTGACGCGGCCCGACCCAAATGCCAGCTTCGTTAACACCGATGCAGGTTACCCATTCGCTCGCCCTCTTTACCGACTAATTTAAATGCGCGCGCCATGCGTTCACCCGCTTTTGCGTTCGCCTGCAGTCATGGGAACGGCGCGGTGCCGCGAGACGGAGCCGTTGACCCCTCTCTGTCTACGGTGCTTTTCGACCGAAAGACGTCATAGTTTCGACGTGATGGACGTCATTATTTCGTCGGCGAGCGAAGATACGACCTCTCCTTCCTCCTGCCGAAAGGAGGGTCCATTTGGCCTGTTCTTTTGAATAAGTAAGCGAGCAATTGAAGCGTATTTTCGTTGATGACCGGTCGAACCAAAATGGGTGAATAGGGTGTCAACAAGTCCGGAATTTCCGGAACGTCCGGAAATAGCACTGGTTTTTCAAGGGCGGTCCGGAAGTACTGAAAAAGTGCAGACATTCTGCAAGAAAGTCCGGAATTTTTTTCATTTTTGTCGCAATTTGAGCGGAAAATTCAAATTTTTTAAATTTTTCGAATTTCGTCAGTTGAAGGTATTGAAAAAGTACTGAATTTTTCTGTTGAGGAGGTACTGAATTTCTTGGGAATGTACTGAAAAAGTACTGTAAAAGTACTGATTTTTGGCCAGCCTGTTTTAGTTGACACCCTGGGGTGGATCGTTCGGTTTCGTATTTTGTTTTGATGCGATCATAATTTTTCGGAACAACATAGGGACTTATAAGACGGATATAGAAGGTGGAATTCTTGCAAACGGAGCCAAAATATAATCCTAGGGTTTAGAAATGATCTGATGAAGATGATGGCATCCGACCAGCATCAATTTCGAAAGTCTAACCTCAAATGTTTACTAACCCGATTTTGATCTCGCCGCCATCATCGCGGCATTTTGGCTCGACCGATCATCAACGAAAATACGCTTCTGGACTGCGTTTTGTAATCAGGAATAGCTATTTCTGGTTCATCCATAAAAACACCCACTATGTAGTCCTTTTAAGCATGCGTGTAATGACGTCAGGCAAATTGCACCTTAAAGTGGAAACTAAATTTATTTAGTACTGCGAAAAAACCCATTTAAGGTCAAAAGTATCGATTCTCAGTCAAACACTCAACACCTTTTAATTTTCTCAAGAACACTTTCTTAAAGTTCCAAACCATGACTTACACCCGTATTAATGTTTTGAGCTTTTAAACTAAATTTTTTTGAATGGTGGCAACAGAGCCGGCTAATTTGATCAGCAATTTATTCGAATTTCTCATTTTTTCGTCTTCAAACTGATAATTGCTGCCCAAGGATCAATCTCTGGCTGTTCGTTGCGCCAAATAATGCAGAATTATATCCCCTCTGAGCTGTGGTATAACTATGTATCCCCCCTCCCGTCTTCGAAAGCCACCTTTTGCCTGAATCCATTATTTATTCACACGTACGATTTCGTGTTACCATGCGGTAAAGCGGTCGGATTAGCAACTTGGTTCAAAACCCGATACATCAAAATTTAAGTAAGAAATCAACCTTCGTATGAATAATGACAACAGCAAGATTAGTGCATGTTGTCTGCGAACAGGAATCAACCGTGCAAGTTAGTATCTGATCGGCAGTCGATAGACAAGCCGCGACGCACAGTGGATCGAGTCAATGGGAGAGGTCGGACACAATTTGGAAACTTTAAAAGCTGATAACTCCGTCCATACAAGAGTTTGAGGTTTGAAAAGTGGTTCCATTGGTTTCCTCGTGAAATTTTCTTCTAAAAGCATCATTCGAATTTAAAAATGTGACGAAGTAAACATCAAAATCTGCAGTATTAATTAAACATTTCATGTCCGATCTCTCTGATTGACTCAATCCACTGTGCGACGACGCAACAACGATGGAAACGATTATGGTAGCGCCTAATTTCATGATACAACTATTCGTGTTCTGTGGATGAGCGTGTTGCATACTCAGTCAGTTGAAGGGGCTCAGGAAAATTTCCGACTCCAGAATCTGAACAGACCACTGACGAGACCGTGTGAGACAAATGATCCATAGAACATCGATGACCCAAGTGAAAAACCACTTATCTCCGTTTGCGATGTTATAGACTCCCTGTTTTACTTTATTTTTATTTTGGAAAACTAGCGAACGTAATTTCTTGAAAACTTCCTCTCGACTAGGAGATTATTCCGTGAAAATTTCAAGCTATGAAGTTGATTCGTTTCTCTTCGAAATAATCAAATAGGAGCGGAAATTTTGAGACACCGCAATGGAGATTTGTGGTTTCGCACTTTGGCCATCGGCATGTTTTGTCTTCAAAATTTTACCCAGAAAAAAAAGTTGCGGAATATATAGGCATACCGTCCATTCCGGGCTCAGAGGCTGAAAGTTCCGGATGCTGGGGCCGTAGCTTCGACTGCTCCGGGTGCTACGCCCGGAAATTTCAGCCTCTGAGCCCAGAACGAACAGTATGTCTATATATTCCGTAACTTTTTTCTCCAGTGTATGAAATGAATTTAGATATCTAATTCATGTGTGCACCGTATCCAAGGTAAAATTTTGAAGACGAAACATGTCGATGGCCAAAGTGGGAAATCACAAATATCCATTGTAGTATTTTTCGCTCCAATTTGATTATTTCAAAGAGAAGTGAATCGAACCAACTTTATAGCTTGAAAGTTTGACGGAATACTCTCCTAGCCGAGAGGGAGTTTTCAAGAAATCACGTTAGCTAGTTTTCCCAAGAAAAAATAAAGTAAAACAGGGAGTCTGTAACATCGCAAACGGAGATAAGTGGTTTCGTACTTTGGTCATCGATGTTCTGAGGATCACTTTATTTGTTTTACACGGTCTTGTTATAGTGGTCTCTTTCTCTTCATCAGATTCTGGAGTCGGAAATTTTCCTGAACCCCTTCAAATGATTGGGTATGCGACACGCTCATCCACGAAACACGAATAATTGTATGAAATGTAGTAGCAGGAGCTGGAGCAGTCGAAGCTTCGGCCCCTGCACCGGGAACTTTCAGCCTCTGAGCCCGGAACGAACAGTATGTCTATATATTCCGTAACTTTCTGTTTTCAGTGTATGAAATGAATTTAAAATTTGTCATTTAAAGCAAGGAGTTAACGGGGTTGATTTTTGTTTTTGCAGATGATGTTGGCGGCCCGGAGGCGGTAGAAGCGGGGCTTGAGCTTGAGGATGGACCACAGCGTGAAGGCGATGCCGTCGCACCGGAAGCTGGTGTTCTCGCGGCTTCTGGACCGGCACCGCTTCGAGAACGACGAGCTCGAGTCCCTTTACCAGCGCTACATCTGCAAACTCCAACACTCCTCCGTCGCTTCGGTCGTCGGCCTCTTCATCCTCCTCACCGCTCTCCTCGCTAATTTCAGGTAAGAGAACCTCTCCAGGGTGTCTACAACAGTGTTCGAAACTCACAGGCGCCAACGCGCCAAATGCGCCCAAAAAATCGGCCATGGCGCCGAAAAAATGGTGGCTCTGCGCCAACGTGGCCCCTGAAAGTTGCCCTCTAAAAATCTGAATTTTCATATTAGGTGATTATTCGAAATTTTTAGCACCACAAGTGAAAGCTTTTTCTATTCTTCATGATATCATCATTTGTGCTTTTGTCTTCCCCAAGTTACAGCTACTTACTAGTTCTGTTACGAAAACATCTTGCGTCTAACTTTTCACTAAATGCGCCGTAATATATAGGCAAAAAGTCAATTTGGCCCCTAAAAAATCTTCAATGGCGCCTAAAAATCGGGCTTGATGCGCCACATGGCTCCTAAAACTCAAAGGTGAGTTTCGAATACTGGTCTACAAGTCCGGAATTTCCAGAAAGTCCGGAAATAGTACTGATTTTTTAAGGGCAGTCCGGAAGTACTAAAAAAGTGCGAAATTCCGCGAGTAGGTCTGGAATTTTTTCATTTTTTTGTCATATTTGTCGCAATTTGAGCGGGAAATTCAATTTTTTTGAATTTTTCGAATTTTGTCAATTAAAGGTACTGAAAAAGTACTGAATTTTTCTGTTGAGGAGGTACAAACTGATATACAACCTAATTGCGGTAGACTCACGGGTTGTAAGACGGTATGTTGGAATTTTTTTGGCCAACGTGCGCTGAAAATCAGCATAAAACTGAAAATATCAATACAGAGGGAAAAAGCTCATATGAGCACAATTTTCCCTCAAAGAGATACGCTGTTTGGTGCAACACCAGGACTGCACTGAGGATTGGCCCAACAAGGCCGAATCGCGTCTGCAGTTGCCTTCCTGAATCGTCGTCACTAGTGTTGCACAAAACAGCGTATCACTTAGAGGGAAAATTATGCTCATATGAGCTTTTTCCCTCTGTTTTGAGATTTTCAATTTTATGTTGATTTTGAACGCATGTTGGCCAAAAAATTCTAACATACGGATGTGTACTTGATTCGATGTAAAACCTCGAAAATGATGGGAACCTTTAGCAGCAATGCAAGGGCTATTCGTGACCATTCTGAAGAACGCCTAAATTGTATTTTTCTCGCCGAAACAGTGCATTTTCTAAATTTCAAAATACTGTGCGCCAAACATTGTTTGTGAAAATAATTTTCATGAAGTATCATGCCAAGAAAAAAACATTGAGGGGTTTGGAAATTCAAGAAAAGCCATCTTGAACAAGATCAAAATTAGAAACGTAATAAAGAGACAAAAAAGAGAAATAGAATAGTAAAATAAGTAGAAAGTAAAGAAAAACTAGCCAATTAAAAGAAAAGGAAACGGAAGGGGAATAAGGAGAGAAATCGGAAAATGACAAGCTTTTGAGAGTGTTTGTCGTGACCCTCGAAAAACCTTTTCAATTCAAATTTTTAAGCTTCTACATCCCCAAATTAATATTCGCAGAATGAAAGTGGGGTGTTTTGATTTATTTAATGCCTCATGCAAAAGTCTCTAAGAACGATTCGAAATATTTTGTTTCAGCTTAATTTATGCGCAAACTCCAACAGCGCAAAATGTATACCACCTGTTTCACTGCTGCATCTTTACATTCCTGCTCATCTTCATAAACACGCGTGCCATGGATGATGCTTACTTGGTGTGGGTCTGCTACGGCATTCTCTTTTTCTGTACCTCCTTCGTAGCTGCTTCCCTTCCTTTCAGTTCTTCAACTCCAGAACCAAGCCCTAATTTCCCGCTCAAGATGGAGACAAGGCGTGTGATCGCAGAAGGTGTTTGGCAGGTGCTGTTTGTCGTTTTCCTAGCGTATGCCATGCTACCCATCAAAACTTGTATCGCCACTTTATTTGGGCTCATCTTGCCATTGTTGCACCTTATTATCTCCATGACATTTTCAAAGGAGTTCGTCAATCTCTCCATTCAACAGGTTTGTATTTTATATCCAGCTTTGGTTTAAATTTATGAAAAGTCTTCAAGGAGTGACACAGCATTAGTTTTGCCTTGAAAGATCCTTGAAAATATTTGAATTTTTTACATGTTTTTAAGTCTTTGCACATGATTGAATGTGGGGCAATTTCCTAAATGCACTGGAGAGTTTTTGTTACATCATATGGTGGTTCATTGATGAATGTGTGAAAGATGAGTCTTTTTGCCCCTCTTTTAGGATGAAGACTTCGCAAATATTAACTAGTGTTGTCCATGAATTGTAAACCCTAATTTTGTACATAGGCAACAGAGAATAATTTCAAAGGAGAAAATAATACATTTCCAAAGCATTTTTTGAGGTGTCTAAAAATTTTATATTAGTTCTTGACAAATCTTTGAAAGTGACTGGTTTGACTGATTAAAACTCTTTGACAAGTCCTTGATTATGGTTAATGATTAACTGTGAAAGAAAGCCTGTAGATAAACCATATGACAGTCCATAGGAGGAACTGAATTTTCTCTATCCCTTCAATTCGAAATTTGCAAGAGGAAGAAGTAAATGGAATTTTCAATTGATACCACTAATTTGTGAGGTCAAAATGAAAGTATATCTTTCGATTGTAAAAATTGCGTCGGAGAAAGAGGAATGAAGTAGGTAGCTTGCAAAAAATAATTGATTTACAGTCTTGCCAGTAAATTTATACAAGAATTTTGCACAGGAAAGTTATGCCATTATCAACTGGTTTTGTCCTGTAGTATCTATTATTTGTCGCATCTATCAGTCGTTCATATATCAAAAGTCTTTAAATATTGGAATGTTTTTTGGTTGGCCTCAAGCGGAAATTAAGAATTTATAATTTATGTATACATTTTTTTCTCTCGCCCCCATTTCACTTTCAGTCCTTTTTTGAGAGGTATACTAAATTTTAATATAGCCTATGTGGCTTGCTTTACTTATTGATTCAATTGTAGGAATTTTTATGGGCTTGTAGATATCTCTCCCACTATTTCCTTTAATGTTCTGTTTTTATCCATGTTTTTCTTTCTCTTTATGAAGGTTGCAGCAAATGTTATTACATTCATATGTATCAACATAGTTGGTTTCTTCCTCCACACTCTGATGGAGAATACTCAGAGGAAAGCTTTTTTAGACACGCGTAACTGTATTGCAGCTCGGTTGGACATGGAAGATGAAAATGAAAAATTGGTATGTTTCAATATTAGCTTTATCATTTCATTTTATGAGGTGTTAACAGACTCTGCGTTTTGTCAAATCAATCACCGCTGCTTAAGCTTGAATATTATGATCAAAAAAAAAAAAAAAGAATTGTTCAGCTTCATTCTATACTTTTCTATAGTCTCTTTAACTAAATTTTCTAGAACGGAAAAAATCAACGATTCCTTGTAATTTATATTTGACTCTGTCCATAGGTGAAGGCACTTTTATCCCTGAGAACTCAAAATTGAGTCATTGACTGCAGTGCAGAGTGTAGAGTATTTCGTGAACATCGTGGGTCGAAAAAAATGTTTTTTAATGTTTACTTTTCTGAAGTTTTTTGTCCCCTGATGAGGGCTAAGAAATATTTAGAACCAGCTAAGTGAATTTTTTTCCCTTTTCCATCAAGGAAATGGTTGCTGTCAATTTTATCTAATAAAAAATTGAAGAATTAATTTTTAACAAAATGGAAACAATTATTTTTTCATTATTAGTCGGAGAAACGGCCGAAGACTTTTAAGTTTAAGACTTTTATTCTTGCCAAAAGGACCATAAATAAGATGTAATTCTGATTCTAAAACTTGTTAGTTTTCAAAGTGTTGCTGAACTCTATGTTAACATAAAATCTTTTCAATGTCATTTATACCGTAGTATTTAATACAAACTCATTATCATTTATTTTTATTTTATATCTCTGGTCTTTAGCATTATATTTCATCCTAATCTGTTGCAGGAACGTTTACTGTTATCTGTTCTTCCTCAACATGTTGCAATGGAAATGAAAAACGACATTATATCTCCGGTTGAAGGGCAGTTTCATAAAATTTATATTCAACGCCATGAAAACGTGAGGTATGTGATAAAGTGTTTCATTATTCTGTTTGGCTTAAAATGCCTTACTGTAATAATGAGTGGCAAGACTCAATTTTATGGTCTTACTCTTATCAAATGCTTGAGTATTTTGCTGAAAGATCAATGATGAAGATTGGAAATGTTAGTATTATAACAACATTTTTGTGCCTATCAGGCCAATTCCATCTTACTTGCTCCTGTATAAGCCTGCCAGGTTTTACTAGAGGCTAAGTCAGCAATTCAGAAATATCTAGATTGCCGTTAAATATCAAATTCTTCATTTTTATTTTCTCTTTTCAGTATCCTGTTTGCAGACATTGTTGGATTTACTGTTTTGGCATCACAGTGCACAGCTCAAGAACTTGTCAGACTTTTAAACGAGTTGTTTGGCAGATTCGACCAATTAGCAAATGTAAGGAGATCTTTCAGTAGATTATAAAGTTGTTCTAATCTTAAGTTAAGCTTTTTGTTGGTTATTTAAAGTGAATTTGTCTTTAACCTTGTAAAAAAAGGTCTTAGTTATAAGGACTTTGTGTTAGGTTTTGGTTACTTACTACTCCTACCCTTTGGTTTTTAGTCCGAGATTCTTTGGTTGGAATTTCCAAGTAACTCCTTTTATTTTATGTCGGATATAGCGTCGGAGTATCTAAATTTGAAATATCTATTGTTCATTCCAGTTTCTAAGTGGATTTTTGACATAGAAATCTGCAATACGTTCATCTCCTTTCTTTGACCAAGAGAAATAGCATGGCATCAAAAATGTATCTGTCAAACTTCAGTACATTGATGGGTTTTTTTATTTTTTTTAACCAATTTTGGACTTCAGCATTTTTAAAAAAGAGACTAATTGACTAATTTTAGAATAGGTGGAAGCAGCATGCTTGTCGTGTTGTGTTCCCATTAATTTTATCCATTTGATAAAATCGAAAATTTAAACCAGATATTTTTTTTTATTTCAGGATAACCATTGTCTCAGGATAAAAATTTTAGGTGACTGCTATTACTGTGTCTCAGGATTACCAGAACCACGCTCAGATCATGCTCATTGCTGTGTCGAGATGGGCCTTGATATGATTGATGCAATAGGGTAAGTGGAAAACAGATAATTCCGATGTTACTGAAGGATAATGTACATTTCATGAAGGAATTTTGTCGTAGAAAAAAATGATTCTAGCATTGTTTCTTTTTCTTGATGATAATCTTTACAGGTCTGCTAGCTTAGTCAACATAAAATTTTTAATTTTTTGTACCAATATTCAAAAAATTAAGCCTGAAAAGTAAACTTTTCAGAATTTTTACAAGCATATTCTGATGGAGACATGGCAATGTTACTTTTCTGGATTTGCAGGCCAATGTAGATAAAAAGCTTGTATCACACTCTCATTTCCACAAAAATTATTTGAAATACTCATGTTGAGATACTCTAAGTATTTATCTCAAAATAGCAACGTTTACAATTAAGTATCATCCTTACATATTTTAGACTATGAAGGTGTGTGAATTCACCATCCACTCTTATCAAGATGCTGAAAAACACAAAAACTATTTTGCCATGTACATATAATGCTGTCCTCAGCTGCATTGTTGAACAATTTTTTACATATCTTAAATACAATATAATCACCAGGAAGGAAAGATTGATAAGAAGGCTCCATGTTTTTTCCATTATTTCATTCTGAATTTTATTTTCGAATTATTATCTGCTGTGTTCATGTAAATATTAATCTCTTTTTGTGGTATTTCAGGTCAGTTGTGGAAGCAACAGATGTACACTTGAACATGCGTGTTGGTATTCACTCAGGGCGAGTTCTATGCGGAGTTCTTGGACTGCGAAAGTGGCAATATGATGTGTGGTCCAACGATGTCACTCTTGCTAATAATATGGAAGCTGGTGGTGAACCAGGGTATGTTTTTTCTTTGCATATATGTGACAGTCGACAGGAAATGGAACCTCAGTATCGAACTTCTCAAAATTGAAATATCGGTATCATGCCTTTAAATTGTGTTTTGCAGTCTTCTGACACAAAAATGTCCAAAAAACCAGAGGTTTGACAATAAGACTTTGCAGTCCATAAAATGTGATTTTGAGAGACAAAATTTCTAAGGATTAGAATAATCAATTTAACCAAAAGCTGTGACTTTGGACCCCCTACTAGCTTTTAAATTAAACTGAACTTTGTTTTGAGTTACTAAAAAGTGTGAAGAATGTTTGTAATAGTTTTTGTATTGTATTTGATAGTAAAATAGATAAAGTGTATTTGTGTGAATACGGTAAAACCTCAAAATGAAGACTTTCAGCAGTAAAAATCTTTGCCATGATTTTTAGTTTCATAATTCACTAGTGTAGACAAAGAACTCGGAAAGCTTTTACTGAACAAGAAAGGTGACTAAGTGGTCGGGCAAGATAGAGAATAGACACCAAGATCGTTGGAATCCGTGCTGTTGTTTGGGCTGCAGTCGAGTTAGAACCGAATCAATTTTCAGATTTAGGGAGTTATGTGTGTCTATGGTTGGCTGCCACCTTTTCTGTTTGGACGCCTTCCACGGTTGACGAGTTCAGACTTTGTCCGGAGGTGGCCACCGCCACCCATGATGGTCAAAAAATCGAGTCATAGAACAAAGAAGATAGCATGTTTTCAAATTTTATTTTTCAATTATGATGCTGTTCAATCAAAATGTGAGTCTTTATATCTGCTTAATATTCTTAATTTATTGAAACAGTGGTCTCAAATTTTAAAAATTATTTTATGTATGAATCATGCTGACTTATCCATTTAACAATTTCAGGCGCGTGCACATTACTCAAGCATCGTTAGATTCTCTGGGTGGTGAGTACGAAGTGGAAGCTGGTCATGGTGCCTCTCGTAATCAATACCTTAGAGACAACAATGTCACAACGTATTTCATAGTTCCTCCTGCTCATCGCAGAAAGGTGAATTTTTCTTTATGTCCATAGTTCAATAGAACGAACTTTTTTGAACGTCACGTCATGCATCTTTAAAAGACCTGGAAATACGGGTCGTGTCAGAGAACTTCATCAAGTCTGGGAATTTTATGAAAAGGACTGGAAATTGAGATATTTTGAAACTTGAAATCTGAAAAATGATCACAAGCTATAACGGAGCCTCAGTTTGGTTTGCGGCTCAATGCTTGGAATCCAAGTCAAGACTCTGAATAGAACGTATTTATGCTAAAAGGAACTATGATGCACACAAGCCTTATTCACAAAATTCCTTTTAGCATAAATACGTTCAATAGTGAACAGAGAAATACATTTTAATGAGGAATCGCAACTATTAAGTAATTGAACGATTAATACTGAGAAAAAAAAAGATTCGCTGGTTTCTGTCATTTGTAGTACTATGACGTTTTTTCCCCCTTAACCGATGTATGGAAATCGTCAATGTAAAGTCAAAGAATTTTGACCATTTTGATCAGAACAGCCGTGGAAAAGTCAGGAAAGCCTTTTCTGCAGAGTCTGTAGACACTTTCTTTATTCAATTGCCTAAGATTTATGGATAGACAAAAATACAAGTATCTTACAAACATTTTATGTTTACTTGGCAACTTGTTGGAAACAAAAAAGTTTGAAATTCTAAGGGCAATCATCCTTGACTTTATGGATTTTGTCTGCCGAAGTCTCCAAACTAGTTTCTTTTCTTCACTCTCCCCCCCCCCCTTTTCATGCTTACTTTCATGTCAGTTGATTCAGCTGATTGTGAAAATGATGTTGGGGAGGGGGGAGAGGGGTTGCTAAATGGTAGGGAAATATGATTAATGCAGGACTGACTGCCTTCTCAGTATCAGCTGTGCTTTGTGGGGTGAGCTATTTTTTCCTGCATTTTGGTGAGCGAGTTCTCAGTGCACATACACATTATTGTATTAGTGCAGTGGGTAACATGTCAGAAGGAGAGAGTGCAACCATTGTTGCTCTCTAGGCTCTTTTGTCAGCCAACAGTCACCTGTATAAAATCTAGTTTTTTCTTGTATTTTGTTGTGCAAAGAAAAATATACATCCAATACACTATGGGAGTGAGCTTATTACGAAAATTCAATCCACAATTTTGAAAAATGTTAAGATGAATAATTTTAAGAAGCCTCTCCAGTTTGGTTTTTTCCCACTTTTGTAAAGCAACATTGGTTAAAAGAACCAAAAAAATTGAAAGTTTGTGTTAATATCTTCGCTTTTCTTCCAGCCATTGCTGTTTAATACTCTCCAGGTGCGCTCTGCCCTCGGTGCTGCTCAAAGGCGTAAATTATCGTTCAAAAATGTATCAAACGTAGTTGTCCAATTATTGCATTCAATCAAATACTCAGTAGAAGTACCGTTCTCAAACATGGCTCCAATGGGTGATATGAAAAATGGACCAGCTCGAAAGGTAAGGTTTCATGAAAGAGAAATCATTTATTTTACAACTAGTGTCTGCTTTTGGAGAGATTGGAATTTATAGAGAATAGTAAAGCATATATATTGTGACCTATAGTTTCAGACAGGATGATAGCGTTTTTCTTCTGCACATTTTCAAACAAGAGCCCTGAAAAGTTATACTCTACAGCTTAGAGTATCAATATTTCCTTTTCTAATATGTTTTTCAATAAAATGTATGAATTTCTGGGAAACAGGGCTTAAAAAAATACAAAAAAAAACCAAGTTGCTTTAACCGAGTAAAGGTCATCAATCAAAAAGTAGACAAAAGAAACCAAGCAAAAAGTAATCGGTTATAAAACCTTTATGATCGGAAATAAAAGAATTCTGACAACACAGAAAATAAACAAACCCCTCATAAACTGAGAAACAGTAATAGTCGTTGAATGCTGATAGGTGGCATCCCTCTCGACACCAATTCATCGTGTACCCGACCTAGGGGCGTAACTACACCCTGCAATGAGCCCTGGCTTCCATACAACTCAACGTTTTTCCAGGCTCATCTCAATGTGTAGTTATACCCTTATGTCAGCCAAGCGACGAATTGTGAGATATCTTAAGTGTCGAACTATGCCAACAGGTGGTGTTACACCATGTCAAAACCGACCATAAAAGAAGGGTTGATGTATTGTTTCAAGCCCACTAATACTAGTGCAAAGAAAAAACTGTGAATTACACATTTTTAAAGAAGCCTTGTCAGTTGTCTCCCACCTTTCTATATATTTCATTGTAAAATGTACTGTGTGTTGTCATAATTTGCTGTTAGAACTTTGCCTTTCATCTCCTCCTTAATCTTTGAGTATGGCTTAATGCAGTTCATGTAATAATACATGATGTAAAGATTTTTGGAATGATGCTCCTTGTTTGTTGTGAGATCAAGTTCATTAGAAAATATTAGATGCAAGAGGTTGAGTCTATTGTTCGTATTTTTTCTAGCAGATGGTGTCCCCTTACATGGATCAACTAGTACATATCAGAATTTTTCCTTGCTTATTTGCAGTAGTACCTTTTGATTTAAAACTACTTCATTTTTTTGTCAAGAAAGTAATTCTTAGTTCAAACCTGCATCATTCAGGTTCATTCTGCGTTATTATCATCTTGTTTCCCATTTTCCTTTTAAGTTTGTATTTTTTTCTTGGAAATGAAGTTTGATTTTGTATATAGTTCTCCGTATTGTTTTGGTATTGTTTTCATCCGTCATTATTTTTTCCCCTTATTATATTTTTGTTGTTATTTTTTGTTTGTTTTCTCTAGGACTTGGTAAGTTTTTTCAAAAGTATGAGATCCTTGCATGCTACAATAGTTTGGTAGCAGGGAGGTAAGATTTTTAATTATTATTTTTAAATGACTTATTCTCGTAAAATTTTCACCAATTGCTATATGATATGGCTGAAAATGAGTTAACTACTTCAAAAACTTTACCAATTTGTAATAAAATCTTATGTCCTCCAATCATTTAGTGCTTTCTTCATTTTAAATTGATCCTGTGACTCAAAGGTTTAAATTTAATTTCTAAAATCATTGGATATAATTGAGCAAATCAAGTTTAGCAAACGCAACTATAAGGCCCTTAGAAAACTAAAGTCTTTGGAAAAGCAAAATCTCTAAATTGTCAGTCAAAGGAGAGACAGTTTTACATCCTAATCATTAACATGTTTTGCAAAGATTCATCTCTGTTTAGAAAGTAGTAAAATTACTTTTACTCATATCGAAAGAGGTATTTTTCCATCATGTAAATTAAAGAGTATTGTGAAACTAGAATGCGATTATTTTTTCAGGTGCTGGATTTGCAGCGAGCTTTGCACGCTGACCATGCTTCAGTCCCCGGTCATTTTATGCCTGGAGACTCCTATCGCAACATGGGAAAAGTAAGTTTTATTGTCAGTATTACTTATTATCATGCAGTCATTGCCTGTGAAGGAACATGAAGAATGAAACTAGAAAAACATTCATCCTGGTTTTCACTAGTGCAGATTTAATGTCATGTTCTACTTTTTTGGAGAATGACCAATTGTTAAAACATAGGAAGTCTATCTACATAAGGAGTTTTGAAAAGAAGTTATGCGCAATAGTTAAGGACTGCTAACATTTGTGAGATAAGGAGGCATACAAAATGGAATTGGAAGAGATGCGTATGACAGATATTAACACCACAGGGAGTGAAACCACTTTATGGTTCATATAAAGTTAGAGGCAGTTAAGATTTCTTTATGCTCTTGGAGATAGACTTCTTTCCCATGATATATTTCCGCATTAGGCAGGAAAAAGTCTATCTGCTTGAGAACTCAAAAGAAAACTCTGTATCTGCCCGAAGCTGAGGCATGTTTTTTCAAAGGCAAGTTCTGGATCTCCTGTTGCACTACAGTTATTTTTTTCCAATATATGTAAGTAACCTGATGAGTATTCAGACCTCAACTGATCCTCAATTGTCATCTGTTTCAGAATAAGGTCACGGATAAATTAAAGCGCCCGTTTAAGAAGCGTCACTCGAGCGTGTACCATCAACCAACCAACCGTGTCAACAAATATTTGTCTCAGGCTATTGAGGCACGCAGTGTAGACCGAGAAAAAGCGACTCATGTTAATCTTATTAGTTTAACTTTCAACGACAAAGAGAAAGAACGCCAGGTAACTTTCCTTTCTTATGCTCACTTTAGCTTTTACCCTCATCAGTAGCCCGACCACAGACCTCTCGCTTCCATCGATATTGATAGAACTAGGCTCCATTCCAATGGAATACCCTTCGAGGGCGACCACAGACCTTGATCTATAGAAACAGCCTTTGGAAAGCTCTTTCATCGCTTGTGGGTTGATGGAACTGCTCGATTCCATCAAAATTGAGGTTAGGGTTCTTCTTTTGTTTACGTGCTTCTCACTGGTCGGCCATTGAAGTTGATTTGGTTCAAGTTATTGGTTGAAACCAAAATTTTGATGTTAGTGTATCTCCCGCCATTAATGTTTTCCAACCTGCTTCTTCTTCTTCAATGAACGGTGATTGGTTGAGAACAATTTCCTCTTTTTCAGTTGAAATTCAACATCGCCCGCCTTCCATCGCCGTTCCATCGCGGTCCGTGATCGCAAAAATTCTATCGATAGAACTGCTATGGAACAAACTCGTACTTCCATCGCCAGGAGCCATAGAAGTCTGTGGTCGGGCTGCAGTGAAAATTTATCTCTTCAGTAAAATTTTATCTCGGCCCAGGATATTCTGAAATTGAAATCTATAAATAGACAAAATTACTTAATGGGGCAGTGACAAGGACTTTTAACAAGATTATAGTGTAGCATATACCTACAGTACATACAGTGATTATAGTGTACATATTCCTCATGTAAAATTTCGTGCAAAAGCCAAATAGTTTAAAAAAGAATTTCCAAAGGGAGAAAAAGCTAATCTAAATCCAACCAGTCAAAAGCCAACAGTCGAGTTGACATAGCAAAATGAAACCTGAACCTGAGTTCAGCCAATCAGCAAACGCAATTTTCCCTGCCTTGTTCCATCATCAGAGTCCGGCAAAAATTGTGTCTCAAACTGGTCCCATTTTTGGCATTGTCAAAACAGGAGCTCTTTGCCATACAGCGCTTGAAAAAATCAGAAAAAATTCTTAGAAGCCCAGTTCACTCTATACTTTCAAAAATATGAATCTAAAAAAGTGGGTGCCAATTACCCATTATTTCTGCCTAAAGTTAGATTCTTTCATCTCCTTTTACATTTTGAAAGAATGATAATGGTAAAGCATTTTATAAGTTGTGATTTTTTTTTTTTGGTCACCGATGGAAAACGTATAGTACCTAATGCAATAGTATTGATTAGTATCTTCCAACCTAAACAGCATTTTTGTGGTTCTAATCTCTTGTCTTTATATGTTGCAGTACCATAGTGACGTGAATGAAGGGTTCACAATCTCATTAGCTTGTAGTTTAGTCCTGTTAGTTCTTATTGCTGGTCTTCAGGCAACCATTTTACCTCGCACCATAATTTTGTTGTTACTGTTCCTGACTGCGTTTGTCTGGATTTCTGTAAGTTCTGTGTTATTTTATTTTCATCTACGATAAAGTAATTATCATCTGGGATAATAAGTAATAATAATTACAAGCATGTATGAAATTTCAATTTGATCACCCTAGAATATAAAATGTCAGAAAAAGATAGACAAAAATTGAACCAAAAAGAAAACCTGACAAGTCTTGAAATTCTTAGTTCTTTGTGTTTCTTTATCAGTATGAAATGCAAAGAGCCGTCATGTGGTGCTTCTCAAAACTTACATAATTTCGAACCGCCATAAGTGCTTCTTATGTATAGTGGCCTCATACTTGTAACTCTTTTAAGGACATTTCAAAGCAGGCAGGCTTGAAGAGGAAGTTGTGAGAGGTCTAAAAATTCTGACCAATGCTCCGCAAGTACTCAAATTATGAATTGAACTGAGGCCCCTAAACTCAACTCAACAGTGTAAGGTTTGAGAGAGTGCTTGATTTTTGACTTTAGTACTTATGACCTGAGTTTCTTTGCGTTGAAAACGCTGCAATGAACCAAGGCTGTGCAAATGAATCGAAACGGAACTTACAGTAGTAGCACTGTAAAACAAAAAAAGACGAATATTTTTAGTTGACCAGTGGCGTGGCGTGAATTGCGATGTATCGATTAATATGCTATTTAAACCTGCGGTGAAGAATCGATTATTAAGGTGTTCGCTGCGAACATCCTGTTTATCGATCATTTTCCATAGATTTAAATGACAGATCAATCGATACATCGCAAAGCACGCCACGCCACTGTAGTTGACATACGTCGTTATGGAGTTCAATCATTAATATTTTTAGTTTCTCTCTCTGATGCTCACTGAGGAGCTGAATAAGATATTGTATAAGATCCTTGTGCACTTTTCTCTTTAAAGTTTTGTAGTTTTTAAAACTTAGTTCGTACGATACTTGTTTGATTTTCAGATCTTCTAATGTTTGATTTTTTCATTCTAGGTAGTACTGATGCTTCTGCTAGCTGTCCGACTTGGTTGGATACTGTGGGATATTTCTCAGAGTTTTGCCCTTCGTTTAGCAATAACTACTTTTACGATAGTTTTAATTTGTACAATGGCGCAAGTGAATATGGTAAGCAAAGTTGACGTGTTCTCTCCTTTTAGAATTTTATGTCTCAAGATTTAACAAAGTCCGAATAAATTCCAAAGAAATATAGATTATCAACCATGCAAATTGTCAGTCATCTAAATGAATCTATTTTTACCTGAAACATAATGCTAAGTGCACAGAAACAAATCTTGTATATATTTCACCCCTAAAAAAGTTACCACGTATGCTCTTGGCGCTTTCTTGGCTTTGATTCCCCGCGAAATGGTGTGGACCCAGCACCATTTCTCCACCTTGTTACGCTCTTTTAGTTAGTTTCTTAGATTTTCTCATTTTATCTAGGTCGGAAGCTTTCTGTAAATGCCTGAATGGCTGCACACTGATTATTACAAATTACACTTCACATTTAAGAAGAAAAAACCAACTACTCACACTCTCAGGAGTGCATCATTGGGGGAAGATAGGTTGATTCAATATTTTTGTTTCTTTCAGTTAACATGTCGAACTGATGCACCTTGCTACGCTCCATCTGCAATGGCAAATGTTACCGAGTGGACATCGTACAACGATCATCGAGCCTGCCCCTTACCACAATATGCTGTGATCAGTTGCACCTTAGGATATCTAGCAGTCGCATTATTTCTGACCTTACCCATTCTAATCAAAACAGCTCTTGTCTGTGTCATGGCCATCATATTTATCATGCTCATCGAGCTGTCCCATATTCAGCTTTTCAGTTGCTATGATACAATTGTGCAGTAAGTATTTATTTTTTTTATCTAAGAATGTCCAAGGGCATAATTATATATTCTTGAAAAAAAAGCTTTAACTCCGCAAGAAAATAAAGAAAAACAAAAGATTAGAAACATTCCTGTAAGAATAATCCTTACCGTAAAGCTTATTTAATTCTGTATTTATTTTTTAGTTTTTTTTTTCATTAAGACCATTTTTGAGAATGAGCAATCAAAACCTAGTTAATTTTTTTGAGTCTAGCGTTTGTAGTTGAAAAATGATTTCAATCTGAGGTTTGTGATCCTTTGTTTGAAAAAAGAGATAGATTTCTATCTTCCTCCATAAAATTATCCCTAAATTCCTTCATTTAAACCATGGATGCAAACAGTGCCCGATCTGGCTATTATAGGATTGCAGCAAACACGGAGCATACCTTGTGTCTCTAGGCATCTTTATAAAACAATAATGAAAAAGTGGTGCAAATTATTTTGCTGTGAAATTAGGCATTTTGCCGTAAATTTGGAAATTTCCTGATTGCCAGATGGCAGCGAATGATTGGCTTTACAGAAATTTCTGCCTCCCTATATTTAATCCTGGCCATGTGTATCACTGCCTCCATCCTCTGTAATTTTAACCTCTCTTTTTTCCAGATCATTGGTGCCGCTGCATGCTTATAACATTGTTTTCGTCATCATATTTCTGATAGCAATAATTATTCATGGAAGGCAGGTTGAATGGACCGCTCGCCTTGATTTCCTGTGGCAAGTGCAAGTGAGTAAATCATAAATGACAAGAAATATCATCACATAATAAACTATCACACAATGGAGAATTTGCACACAAAAATTGTATTGCTTCATCTGAAAGATGAAATTCACAAAATTTAAGACACCTGCAAATTCTCTATTTACTAAATATTATCTAACAAAAAGAAAACTAAATATTATTGAATGATAATTAAAATAATCAAACCTGCTGCAAAAGAAAAATAAAGATATCTTAGCAGATTTCTGTCTCTGACACTTGCGGAAAAACTTTTTTGTATTCTATAACAATAATTTTATTTTGCATTTTTATAGACCAAAGTCTCTTTTCCTTTGGACGGAAAGCATCCATTTCTTTTCCAAAAATATGAATTCCTCTGTAGGAATTATTAAGCATCGACTGGTCATCTATTTTTTCTTGAAAAAATTTTTTTGAAATTTATCCTATGTTTTTTTCTATAACTTTGTCTGTATAATAATCTCTGGAATATTACAGGCGAACGAAGAAAAACGAGACATGGAAGCCCTTCAGAATAGCAATAAACGAATTCTCTTCAATCTTTTGCCAGCGCATGTGGCTTCACATTTCCTTGACAACCAATTCCGCAGCAACATGGTATGAAATTTAGTCTTAATAATAATACCTAGCATACTTCTTGCTTTAGAGAAAAAAAGAAGTGTTTTCGAAAATTTTATAGTGTAAGCCTCAAAAGACGGTCAGCAAACAAGCTCATATGAATGGCATATGAAGAATCACCAGCATAGAGATTTCAAATTAAATGGTTTTTATTAAGCCAAAGCTGAAGCTTGCCAGATTATTTTTTTTAATGACTCGTTATCACATTCCATGCCACTGTGTTTCTGTGGGTGTGTTCCTGTAAAGCAAAGGTAACAGGGAAAAAATGATGCTATGTGGGGAATGACAACTACTGTCATTGAATTTTGCTGCAACGTCATGGCTACTTCTCAGTTGCACCCATAATATCTCACAGTTAGCTGTTGGGTAGGTTTGCGGGTAGCGTCCTAATTTTTACAACACATTGCAAATCAGACCAAAACCTGTGACCATTTTGGGCTGCGGTAGACCCTATAAGACTGTCACCATGACTGGCACTGCTGGGAACAAGCTAAAATGTCATTTGAAAGTTGTGAAATCAAATTTTATGTCGCTAATTTCACAATCCATTCTATAACAGTAGATGAAACTTGCTTTGTAAAAACTTTTCCTCTGAAGGCTTTGCCAGGAAACGACTTAGGATGTAGGTAGACTTTGTTCATTTGCCGCTTAGAAAGCAGATTTAAGCAGCTTTGCATGTGTGCACCATCATTGAACATTTTATCAGGTATGTTTTAATCACTCATGTTCCTCAAGTAGGCAAATTCAGTATAAAGGAGCTCATCCGTAATAGATGCATACTTCCTCTACATAAAGGTGTCTGAATGATCCCTCGTGTACTCGTATAAAACAGATCATCCAAAGTTGACACTTTGACCCGCAGAGCTCCCCTCCAGCAGTGGCTTACCTTGAAATTGACCTGTAGGCTAGGTATAAAGTGAAGAACGTTTAGAAAATAAGAAGAAGACGTTTAGAAGTCAAGAAAGTTTGTTTTGTTTTATCGGCGGTTGAAAAAGGGCATGTTAATCCCAAAATGTCCTGTCAAATTATTTTTATTCACAGCCTGCACCCCATTTTAGTGATTTTTTTTCACATACATGTAGCAGGCTTTTAACAATTTTAGGCAAATAGCAATCATGCCCATTTGCCCAGACTGTACTTGACTATATTTGTTAAATATTACACTGAATTTCAATTATTATTTAAAAAGGGAGTTTTTCTTAAAATTGAATAGAAAGCCCTCAAATTTCCTTCACTCCATTTTCTCTATGAAAGAAGCAACTGAAAAAAAAAAAAACCCGCTCATAATCCAAACTGAGGGCATTTTAAGCGCAAGTAATTGACACTCTAATGTTTGAGCTTATTTCATTGATGTTGATCAAAAGAATTTTGAACAATAGAAAAAGCCATCCAATTACTTTTTACTCGGGTGGTTACTGCACATCTACAACAAGTGAGTGTGTCAATTTGATAGTGGCATATCTCTGTAAATTTAAGTTGTACAGGAAACAATGAAAACAGCTTTGCAGCCTGAGGAGATATTGGTGACTTTTTTGATATGTTTAAAATTCAAACTAAAGTTCTTTGAAAATGTTAAACTAAAATTATCATGTTTTAGGAGAAAAATTTGATAAGTATAAGTCCTAAAGAATCAACACAGTTTATTTTTGCTCTAGCAAAAGTTTGCAACAGTCCCATTTTAAATCTCTTCCTCCTATAACCATGTTTTCGTGATTTACAATCATGAAGCCATTGTAGCTCTGGTCTAATGTGACATGTGTTTTTTGTGGCAAAACGTTTGTTGAAGACTCCTCTATGCTGTAGTGCTAGTATCCTAATTTTGAGTTTTTGAAACGAAGGTTCCGTTTCTTTAGAAGGTTGCAACTTAATTTCTTTAATTAATATTTTTTTTGCGAATTTAGTATAGCTCTACTAATTTTCCTTTTATATCTTGTAGAATTTTTAAAATTTTCTTTTGTGTCCTTTTTTACCTTTTATCGATTGAAGCTTATGCTAGTTGCTATCGTAGCTGCCGCTTATTTTTCTTTTGTTGTTTTATTTGTTTTTAACAGAACACTCTCTCGCAGGACTTATATCATCAAAGTTACAGCCGTGTTGGAGTAGTCTTTGCATCGATCACGAATTATCATGAATTCTACATGGAATTAGATGGTAACAATCAGGGTGTAGAATGCCTTCGACTCCTCAATGAAATAATAGCAGATTTTGATGAGGTTTGTGTTTTTCTTTTCCTTATCTTTATTCATTATCCTTAAATGTTAAGTGTTTGAATGTTACATGATCGGTCTTTGAGAAGATAATATTTTTCCATATCGATTTGAAGAAACTTTCAAAGCCATAAAAAATGTATTTCACCCATTCCCTTACGCCCATACTTTGCCCCCTCTAACTAGGTTTTCAATTCAGTTTGGCTAAAATCAGTAATCCTGGATACTTTTCTATAGTCATCACACTCATGCAGATAATTGAGCTATTCAGCTTACTGACAACATTGTGTCAGATTAGAACAAGGAAACGCTGTTACAAGTTTATGTATTGTTTATTTACAACTTTTAAAATCAAGAACAATGGGCCTGTTGCAAACTTTTGCTAGAGCAAAAATAAGAGTTGTTTCTTCTAGATAATGCCTCAAAAATCACGATGAGCGCATCGGCAAAGTCTGAAATGCACTCATAACTTCACAGTCTGCGTAAGAAATTTGCGGTTTTTTGAGCTTCCCGCTTCAAAAGCGATACTACGGCACAGGTGAACATTTTGTAAATGGAGTCGTTCCATCGTCGGCAATACTCATCATGGCCGACGCCAATCCGTCAAAACACGTGTGATGGGACGAGATAATACCTGAACTGGATTAGACCAGATAACAATCGGCGTGTTTTAACGTCCATGTTTTCCACGCCCGAATTGATTGACCTTGAACTCTCCTCGAATTACGCGCGGAACTGCGCGCAAGCGTTGGCCATGATGAATATCGCCGACGATGGAGCGACTCCTCTAACAAAATGTTCACTTGTGCCGTAGTATCGTTTTTGAAGCGGGAAGCTTAAAAAAACGCAAATTTCTTACGCAGATTGTGAAGTTATGAGTGCATTTCAGACTTTGCCGATGCGCTCATCGTGCTTTTTGAGGCATTATCTATAAGAAACAACTCTTATTTTTGCTCTAGCAAAAGTTTGCAACAGGCCCATTCAAAATCATGGAAAAAATGAAGCTTAGTGAAGTATTTGTGTGGCTTACATAAAACCATTTTCTGGATAGAAGGTATGGAGGGTTAGAGAACCCAGGTATGGAGGCTTTGAGCCGCAAGTGTAAGAAGTTGGGTACCTGGGAAATTGTTTTCAGTGAGTAGCGGCATCACTGATCAACAAACAAACTGCAGATACTAGGACGTTCTTGTGTCTATGTACCCAATGTCTTGAATGTCAGCGGCTAACTCCTGTTTCAGTTTTATAGTATTGAGTCGGGGCTCTTTGGTGCAAGAGAGAAAAACTAAATTTCAGGTCTGTTATCTTTTGATGTGTAGCGCCCCTTGTCAGGATAAGTATGACTAAAGTGAAAGAACGTTTCTGCCAAACGTTTCATAACTAGTTGACTTATCAATTCAAATTTTCTCTGAAACTTTTGTGACTAGTATTCTAGTTAATTTTAGGGAATGAGTTACTTTTGCTGTTTTTGAAAGTTATGTATCGGCCTTTAAAAGCAACGTATTTTTTATACGAGGAGAAACACACCTACCAAGGTTTAGAAATGTATTTAATTTAAAGAGCCATAAGTATCATCAAGTAATTTTTGTTACATTTTTTTGTGGTAAATCAGTAGATAAATCGCATGATTATTATTTTGGGTTAATTTAATGTGTACCATAAGAATGATTTATTTTTTTTCAGCTGCTGGGAGATGAGCGGTTTCGAGCAATTGACAAAATTAAAACTGTGGGTTCCACCTACATGGCTGCAATTGGCTTGATTCCTGAGTACCGAATTCAAGACGATGACCATTCGGCAGGGTACTACATGAGCACACTAGTGGAGTTCATTTTTGCCATGCGAGACAAATTAGTTTGCATCAATGAAAATTCTTACAACAATTTCATGCTTCGAGTTGGCGTAAACATTGGGCCTGTTGTGGCAGGAGTTATTGGTGCAAGGAAGCCCCAGTACGATATTTGGGGTAACACTGTGAATGTGGCTAGTCGTATGGATTCCACCGGTCTCCCAAACCACACTCAGGTGAGTCTATGATCTGTTCAAGCTGACTATTTTTCTCATCGTTTATAGCATACCAGAATGAACTGTCAGGCAGGGGAAAAATTCAAGTATCGCACACTTTGTTTAAACCACTTAAGTTTTACATTTAAGACTTTTTCTTTTGAAAGTTAAATTTTCTTCTGCTTTTCAAACACATGCAAGCTTTCTTATTTTCCCTTTATCTTTGCAGGTAACGGAAGAAGTGTTCCAAGCTTTAAAGAATCACCCGTATGAATTTCAATGCCGAGGAAAAGTGAAAGTAAAAGGCAAGGGAGAAATGACAACATATTTCCTAACAGATCGAAAACAACCAGGCACCATGCGTGTGGAAGAAATGAACAATCTTCGAAGTGGAGGTGGCGGCGGCACAGGTGAGAAGACCTGTTTTTCATGAGCTTTTCCATTTTCAGGTTAGGAATCGTAATGTAGGCGGTCTTTTTCAAAAATACAACATTGCTGTAGTTCATATCCTTGGTGACAAATATTATATGCTTTTTGCTTGATTTTATGGAGCTAGAAATTTTGCAGCGTTAAAATGTAGTTACGTTCCTTCGTCTGCAGCGGCGTGGCATGCTTTGCCATATATCGATTGATCTGCCATCTAAACCCAATTGAAAATGATTGATCAACAAGATGTTCGCAACAAACCCTAATAATTTATTCTTTACCATCGTTTCTAGTGGAAAAAAATCGATAGTGGATCATTTTTGCTTTGCCACTGCTCGTCTAGAAAATGGTGATGTGACTGTCTCATACGGAATTATGACACTAGTCACCAGGTGAAATTTTTTCTCCTTCAGTAGTAAGTCCCCAAGTAAGTAACAGGAAGTGCAATCGTTTTTTTTTTGTGTGCAGGCAATATGTATGGAGGAGTTGCAACTCCCTTAGCTTTCTTAAACCATGTGCAGCAAGTCCAGGCGCATGAAAAACCGTACAAACAACATAGGGTCAACAGGCACCACTCAGATCGCAGTCGATCAGGCTCCAATCATAGAACTCCAGAATCAGAACCTCTACTATCAAGTAAGTCACAATCTTAACTTATCTCCTTGAGCATTCTTGGCAATACCTTAGTCGATGAAAGCTTGAATTTGAGCCTTTGATATCAAGGCGTAGAGGAGTATTTTACCTCAATTTGTGGACAAAAAATGTCTAAACATAACTAACCAAGCTAGAGTTTATTTACCATCCCTGATGCATTTCAGGAACCACCCATCTCTTTCTCTGGTGGATCTGTAATGATTACCTTGGTTCTGATCATGTCGCCCAGGGTTTCCGTCGGTCTGAAAAACATAAAAAGTCAGGAAATTTTGTGAGGAGTGTTTAGCAGAATTCAGTATAATTGAAAGGATCAGAATCTTCCTTGATGAAAGTTTTGTTCAAAAGATAGGAAACTCAAATATTTAGAAAATATTTTGTAGCCGGGGAAAAGCAAAACAAGTCAGGGAATTGGAAAATGAAAAATAGATAGGAAGCCTGGCTCACCAGCAGTCAGAGATCCACCGAAGAAAGAGAAGAAAGGGTTGCCTCCAAAACCCGTCAGTAGTAATAAATTAAAGCGAGGTGAGTTTTAAAAATCCCGATCAGTTTCATAATCAGTTTCCCCTCACTGTTCATAATCGGTGTGATAGATCAAGGTTGGTCTATAGTGTAGTGAAGCAGACTTTTCGAAAGCTGTGATTCTAGTCAGGAAGTACATATAATTAATTTAACTTTGCTTTTTATCAAGTTTCTATTAGTTTTTTTCCTTGTTTTTGTTCTAGATGGCAATCAAATGTTGCGAATGTTATCTCAGCAGTCGCGACCTGCTTTGTTACCATTAGTAGGAAGTTCACGCTCTAAACCTCCACCTCTACCTCCTCATAAAGGCATTACACAAGTGTTCCCGCCAATGAACAATCCTCCTATGAATAACTTTAAGTACGTTGAAGTTCCTTAAATTCAGTATTATGTAATTTTTGTGCATTCATTGTTGAAAACTCTGAAATTTTCTAGCAAAATAGTTTTAGTTTTTCCATAAGTTATGAGTTATTCTGCAGTTACCGTCTTGAATAGGGATGGTCGAATATTTAGATAATCGAATATTCGATATTTGAATTATTGGCACTGAGATAATCACATCACATTCGAATATTCGCTTCCGCAGTGTTCGAAATTGCAAATTCGAATATTCGAATAATCGCATTCGAATAATCGCATTCAAATAATCTCATTCGAATAATCGCATTCGAATAGTTGCATTCAAATTCGATAACTGTCCATCCCTATTGTCAATCTCGTTATTAAATAAAACTTGTCCACAACTCCACACGGAAATGACTGACCATCTTAGTTAAACAAAGTCATTATCATCAGTCAGTCAGTTCAAGTCAGTCGTTAGTCATTTATCTCTCACGGTTCATAAAAAATCAAAAATCGAAGCAATAATCGAAAAAATTCAAATATTCGCTTCTGAAGTATTCCCAATCGCAAGATTCGAATTCTCAAATAATTGCAACAATCGCATTCGAAAAGTTTCGAATAATCATATTCGAATTCGATATTCGTCCATCCCTAGTCTTGAATTTTAGTTATAAATGAGGGAAAGTTAATAGAATTTGGGGTGACACCAATTTAATTTGGAGGGAGGTTTTGAATTTTCTGCTCCCCTGCAACATTGTGGTTAAAAACTTCATAAAGTTAAACCTTTCTTTATTCACTGTTGCTAATCTTGATGAATTTTCAAATTTACAGGTATACTCCTCCAGGCGTGTGGTCACAAGGAAGCAACTCTAGTAATAGTAGCTATAATAATTTTGGTGTAAATAGTAACTGCAATCCAAATTTCTCCCATCATATAGTTCCAGAAACCACCTCCAGACAGTATAATGTAAATAACCATAATATCACCAGCAGTATTACAAGTCAGAGTCACTCGAAAAGCCATCGCGTCGAACAAGAATCGTGGCAGACAGCTAGTCAAGATATTAAACCGTACATGAAACCACTTCCAAAGCCGCCAAAATCAGAGAAGCACAAAAGCAGTAAAAAGCAACAATATTGGCCTCAGCATCTTCTTAGACATTATTCCGATGAGTCACTTCAAGGTATGTGAAAATCAGTTCATCAACTCGAGTTAATATTTTCTCACAATGAGCATTTGTTTCCTCTGTTGTATCCAATTATTCACTCATCTTGAATATACTAAAATGACATAAGATTTGTGACACCAGTAGATCATTCTTTGGCTCTGAGGTTTAAATCTTACACTTGCGATTTAAACCTTGCAACTTAGAAAATTCAAAATCAACTTCGGGTGGAAAAAATATGATTTTGCCCAAGCAATTGTCTGTTGAATTTCTCAGGTGGCCAAATTTGCAAATAGTATACATATAGCATACAAGTAATCAAAGTATAGAAGAGTAATTTTTTTCTCTACAATATTAGACCCAAACGGTTCTCTCAAAGGACAGTATAGAATATTAGATCCATAGCCAATTCAGAAAACATGAATTACTATTCCAGTCTTATCAGATTTCTGTATGTAATTGATTTTTTAGAAAACAGAGGAGCTTTTTATTCTTCCAGAGCTGGCTATTAATGTGTCTTTAAAAGAATGTCAAGTTTCTTTGTGCAAGCTGATATGAAAACACCAAGTATAATTGTCTCTTTATTTTAGGTTCTGGCATGAATGTGGGCCAGCAGTATCGTGTGCACTCATCTGCCGATGAGATTAGCTCCTTAAATCATTCTCCAAGTATGAGCTCTTCGGATGAAAGTTACAGTCGGACAACAGATGCCTCACCATCCCCATCTCCACCTTTACCAGCTCGGCAGCAGACTGACGCTAACCAGTGGATCTTCCCATCAGACATCCAAGTCAATGTCTGCTCAAGCCCAGAAACATCTCCGAAAGTCTCCCACGACTATATTCCTCCTCAATGTTTAGTCAACAACAATCACTCTGATTCGCTCAATAGGTCCTCAAATAAGATGAACGGTTATGGAAGCGGTCGCAATAAATCAAAATCTTCACCCCATAAAAACCAAAGAGGATCCGGTTCAAACTCAAGGAAACCGGAAAAATTATCATCTAATGCTTTGATGGCCCTAGCAGGAAGTGGAACTACTACTGTCGAAACCAATCAAAGTGTCGGCTCCAACCCGGGCGAGAGTTGCGGCAGTTTTGAATTCCAAAAATCAAAACCCAAAGTCAAAGGAAGTCCAAGCAGCCTTAAGAAAAGGTCAGATGCCGACAGTTTGGATGGCTCAAACGTAATTAGTGATATCAAAACCACGGAATCAAACGAGGAAGCATGTTCCAAGAACCATCTGAGCGATCAGAGCGTGAATGATAAAGAGTGTGGTACTGCCAATAGTTCAACGAGCGGTCGCTCATCAACCAAAAGAGACGGCTCCAGCCAAACAGATCTGAAGATTCCAGTGAATGTGGACATCATCCAAACGAGACCGAACACAGCTCAAGAAGATTCGGCCATGAGTTTTGAGAATGAAATACGGAAAATTCTCGAAGACCAGAAAAAGACACCCTCACACGAAGAAAATGTAGAAGAGCCATTGGTAACGAGCAGGTTGGTACCGCAGTTAGTCGAATCGAATATGGCGCACATCATAGAGATTGCTAGACAGCAAGAAAATAGTTTGCTTAGTGATAATATCCCTGAAATCACATTGCAAGCTGACCTCATTCGCACAGATCAAGCATGGTATGTATGTGTAAATAGTTGTTTAGACTCTTAGTTAAATCTTCTAATTTCAATAGGAACACCCTTTTGTTTCCTCTTCTCTATCAGAAAGCCTCGGTTTGATGATTAAAAATTTAGGTTTCATGAAACTTTGATAGTCACTGTGTTTTTCGTGGGGAATTTTATTCGATCATTTTACGTTATTAGGTAAAAATTAGGTCTAGATAGGCACCTAGAAAATTTTGAACTGTTGCTGTTTTTCGTGAAATATGTTATTCCTTAGCCCCCCCCCCCTCTCCTTTGAGTTTTTGTCACTCAAGGAAGGTTCAATAGGAATCGGTATATTTAACTTTGCGTGAGAAAAAAGAGAATTTATTAAATATTTTAATTACATGTTTTTTAAAATATTCATTCTTATATTTCTTTAATTTTAATTGATTAAATGCCGAGTTATCAGTAAGTAATGAAACGTTACAATTTAATTTCCATTATTTTATCGCACAAAAAGTATGTGCGAGCAACTGAAGAGCAGAAAATGCCTCTTCAATTCATGAATCTTTTTTGCTTTTCAAGTTGTATTAATCCAATTCTCAGAGGATTGAAATGTGGATTTTCTTATAATTTTGTCTGCCATCAGAGTAGAAATCTTTCAATTTGTTAGAATTCTCCTAACTAAGTATTTTTATTAATACCATTCCCTGAATTGCTCACATCTAAATTCTTAACTTCAATTGCTTTCTTCTGCCAATTAATCCTAGTCAGTGCATCAAAAGGTAAGCGTTATAACAGAATTCTAACTTCACAGACATGGTTCATCTAAATATTCACACTTCACCCTGCAGCCCTCCTGTATGTACCCTGTTGAATAGCTTAGAATTGATTTTGCTTGTTGATTTTTCAAGCAACAGCAACCTTCACTCAAGAATTGATGTACATTCACTTCATTAGGTGGCCATGCTTTGTAGAAATACATTTGTTGTGGACAAAGCATTATTTTTTGAGAACGTAACTATTGAACCAATTGATGCGCATTGTTCAAAAATATCTCTGTAGATCAGTTCATTGATCTGTTATTGAGTTTTGAAAAATAGACTTTCTAGATGTGAGGCTACAATGCAAATTGAGGAAAGGACTAGAAGAAGGGCTCATAATAGTTTGAGTATGCTCGTCTCTGGAGCAGTTGATATCTTTACAAGCATCAGCGTTGCCCAGACCTTTTCTTCCCATTTGTCACTTAAAGCAAAAAACGGACTCGTCCCTTTTTCATGTACCCTGTTTCTGGAACCCTCCTCAATTTTACAATAAACATGTTTTGGAAACTGAGGACAACCTGAAAGACTTGAGTTGTAAGTAAAAAAGAGGAAATAGTTTCAGATTCTGTAAAGCTTTCATAGATACGTTCTCAAGAGAATATTGCTCTGTCTCAACTATCACTTCTGTGTCACTTTGGTCATCGATTGTCTTCCAAGCACCATCTCACAGCCCTCTTCAAACTAGCTTTTTTCGTTATAATTTTAATCTTTTTTTTTTGGCGGTTCTCAAATTACACATTCATATCCCCCATACATCAATCGGACTGCATTTTGCAATTTGGAACTATAAAGTATGGTTCTTTTGGAAAAAAACTTATGTGCACAGGGGAACTAATGGCACATACGTCGTTTTTAAACCAGGCTAGAATTTATAGTTCCTTACTGCAAAATGCAGTCCAATCAGTCTTTCAATCATGCACAGAAAAACCTGTGGAATATTCTTACATCACTATATTTTGATAAGAAAAGTCACCATCCATGGAAGAAGGAATCTTTGTCCTAGGAGTTTCAAAATTGAGTCATTGATACCAGAGTATTGGAGAGTGTTCCATGGGCATCTTGAGACAGAAATGCTCAAAAATGTTGCACCAAACTAATGTTATGGCGGTTTTAAGCTTTCAATAAATGTATTTTCGAGAAAAAGGATTTTTAAAATTTTAATCTCCTTTGTAGAGGGTGATTAACTGCCGGTTCTAGTACAACTTCAACTTCACAACTTCCCTCTGTTATCACATAAATAAACTAGATCAGTTACAACTTATTCTATAAAACACATGAGAGAGTTTTCCATGGAAACTGCAAAATCCTATTTTCGACCAAACTTGAAAGACTTTGCTACACTAAAAAATTTGCTTCTGTGGATGTTCATAAATAGATTTTTTTTATCCATCCAATAGATATTGCATCTTTATATTTTGGTCTTGCTTGTCAATATGTTTTTTCCCTCTCCATTTCCAATTTTAATTTAAAAATATCATGGCGAATGCAAATAGGTAAAAATTATCACGTTGAAATAAATTACAGTAAAGTCTTTCAGTAAGAATCGTATTTTTAAACTTTAGAATCTACTCTTTTCCAAATACTACTGAGGAACAATACTAAAGTTGTATGTTAATATTTCTGTACTCATTGTTGAAGAATTTTTTTACATAAAAGTCTAAAAACTAAAAATCTTTATGCTAGTCCTTACATAAGTTCTCTAGGAGAACTTGAGGCAGTTTTTCTGGAATACAACATATATTTGTTTCTTTCCAATAAATCTCAAATTCTAGATTTAGACTTTTGTGTCCTCAGCAAATCTGTAACATTTCTTCAGAATTATGTCTCCCTGCTATTAGATTGAATGCTGCCCTATTTTTAGATACTCTCTAGCCGTTCATATCTGTCGTTAATTCTCTTCTTAGCAGTCTCAAAAATCTTTTCCAAGGTTGAGCATGTTCTCTCACTTTTCGTCCCTGTTGTTGCTGTTTAGTTGTTCTCATAGGTGCAACCCGTAGGTTCAAATACCTGCTCATTTCATATTAAACATTTTACCCAATGAATGAATGAAAAAATAAAATATAAGTGGAAATTCTGAAACACTGCAATAGAGATATGTGGTTTTGCAACTTGGTCATTGATATGTAATACTTGATGATGGAAAAGTCCATAAAAGTGCTATCATGTGGGGGAAACAGAACAAACCAATTCTTGTCGAGGGTAACATTTATTCTTGACACCTCATCTTCATTGAATATTTCAGATTACATACCTATCATCATTCATAGGCTTCGTAATGCATTAAAACAGTCCGACTATTGCTTATGGGGGTGGGTGTTTTGTATATGACATCCAGCATTATCTCTCGGCTTGGCATTAGCTAGCATATGCGTCTAATGCGCTGTTGGTTTGTATAACTAACTGCAAAAAAAACAAGCTCCTTCCTTGAAATATTTTGAATGAAAGAAATGCAAGGCATAATAATGAATCATGGAGCACAAAACTTTCCTTGATAGATAAATGGGAAAGGTGATTCCCATAAGTCAAAATATGATGAAAAGTCAACCCACTTCTGGATCTATTTCTAATCAAGTTTTGCTTGTGCTGTCACTTTTTTAGCAAAATAATTTACATCCTTTAACAACATCTTTCATATTTTCAGTAGCGAGTTGCTGAGTGAGCCGCAGATGATCAATGGGGAAAGAGAGGCGACTGGCAGTGAAGATGAAATGGAAGAAAAACAACGCTTTGAAGAAGAGGAGAAGAGAATTGCCGAAGAAGTCGAAAGACAGGTACTATGATCAAATACGTTTGAAGTTTTAAATGCTGGTGAAAGAAAACTTTAGTCTGATCATTTTTGGTCAGTTATTTATTTACTCAAACCTATCGCTAAAAATTAAAAATCTCTCCACTAGAAGGGAGGAAATTTAGCCGTACTTCTATTTTACTACAGAATCTAATTTTTTGCAAGTATTTTGTAATCAGGATCATGACTAAGTTCTGGCATGCAGCCTCTCTCACAAAAAATGTATGATTTTACTTACTTTTACAGGAGGCTGAAGTGCGACGGCTACTAGTTGAAAGTTCAAAGCAAGTGGGAGAGACCAGTCAGTCAGAATGGAGTGATGAAGATGACGATGATGAAGATAATGACAGTGATGATGGTGACGATGCAGATGATGATGAAAATGCAGCATCGGAACCTCTCCTCAATGACAGAGAAAGCACTGGCTACACCACAGATGATCCCGCTCTTGAGAACATATCTATGATCCTTGAAACTGGTCTTACTGATGCCGAAGGTGAGTAAAGCATGTCCTCATTACATGTTTTGCTTTCCTTTTACCTCCCGGAAAACAATTTATTTTTGAAGTTTAATACCTCAATTTTTGCAAAAATTTGTCTTAGGTCCCTGGCGCACTGCTGTGCTAAGAAAGAATGCCATTTGAGCAAGCACGTTGCAAAATTTCCTTTGATACGACCAAATTTTCAGGAAAACTTAGGACTTTTTTCCTTCCAATTTTTCACAGAAATGATTTTGAAATTTGATCGAAAGGATGTCAAATTTTGTAAGTGAATTATTCCTAACTTTTCTCAAAAATTAACGTTTTATCAGGGGAAATTTGGCGACATCCGAACGTTCATATGGCGTTTTTCCTTAGCACAGCTGTATTGTGGTTCTCAATTTTGGTTTGGTCTCTCCAAGTTGATCTAATCAAGAAATTGCTTCCAATTATGGGCGAACATAGTACATTGTTTAATCACTTTTTATCTCATTCTGTAAACCACCGATAACATTAACTTGAAATATTTTGAAGTACTGATTACCTTTGCTCCATATCACCAGGCCTCCATCATGTGGTTGTATATCCAAATTCAAAAGATGATAAAAAAAGTGCTGCTCTCAAACATTACAATAATTGCGGTGAAACAGCCAATTTACCAATTCATGTTCTTGAAACCCACCTGCGCTTTGATCAGCTCAGCAACATAGTGCAACCGTGCTAAAGGAAAAAGCTGTATGAATTTTTGGATGTTGCCAAATTTCCTCTGCTAAAATATTACTTTTTAAGAAAAGTTACAGATATTTCACTTTGATGTTCGCTGATGGAATAAATAGCGAGCACTCTGAATTTAGAATAAGTTTTTTGGAAAAATTTATTTTTAAATTTCGGGTTTCAGCCAGATTTTACAATCAAATACCATAATGTGTATGAGGTATAGTCTTATAGCCCTGTATTGTGTTGGTAGATACAACACTTTGTAAGATTCTTTATGCAGATGGATTCTGTCTCCCTAATCTCTGTAATGGTATCCAACTCCCCCTTGTACTCGACTTTTCTCGATCTTCTAAGTACTAATGACCATCACAAAATTTTTATTGTGCGTGTCAGAAAAAAATTAGAAGAGAAAGGGAACCAAATGCAGGTTTTAAATTTATTCTGAATTTTCAGGTGCTCTAAGTGACGTCAATTCTGCATATGATGGTGTCGATGACGATTGCTGCGACAATACTAGCATGTCTTCCCGAGCCTCTTCTCGGCTCTTTGACTCGGACGCTGTCCTGAGCCTGGATTCTCTCTCAGCTCTCTATGATTCAGAGTATGACAATCTCTACGCTGATTTGACCCCAGCCTTCCCTCTCCAAACAAACAGTGCTCGCGACACTCATGCAGAGCTAAATAACTTTGCCAATATCAAGTCTGTATCTGAAAGCATAACAAAGAATTTTGGACAGCCTCGTTGTAGCGAAACAGACAGCGATGTTTAATAATTCCTCGCCTAGGAATTAACGAAGAGCCCTTATAAACCGCTAATTTTCTTTCAGTATGATTGACTGTACATTCATTGTGCCTAATTACTGATTCTCCTCCTATTTTTTTAGCGTTTTTGAATTTTGAAGTGGAGCTCAGGCATGAGTTTTTTTTTTTTTTTTTTTTTTTTTTTTTTGTTTTTGCAAATTGGAGGAATCTTTTGAATCTCATAGTTTTTAAATCTTCAAGGATTTTAGTTTTTGCTCCATAGTAACAAATCCTAAAACTTTACTGTATGTATGTTTATTTTTTTTTTTTTTTCAATTTATTTATTTTTTTTATTATTTTATCTGGCTGTGGAAGAACAGTCCTACTGTGATGATCAATTATAATTAATAATAATTGCTATTGTGTTATTTTAACTAAGACTATGCTTCATAATTTGACCAAATTGTAATTAAGTTGTGAACTGCTCGTGAAAAATAAGGCGTTTGATTTATATTTATCATCAGACTTTCAATCTTTGTTAGCTGATTCTGGTGATATAATGCTCTAAAATTCTCACGGTATTCTGCAGAATAACTGTAAAATCAGAATAACCTAATACATGTTTTCGAAATACAAACGCAAATCAAAACCGAAGGCTTGAAAGGTCAAATTAATTCAACTGTAACAAACTGATCAAATTAGTAGTTCTCTTATTGTTTTATGCATTTATGTATCAAAATCAGACTTCAGTGGCCGTGAATACTCTGCTGTTTATTCTTCATCTTTTTTCTAATTTCCACACCATGGGTCAGTTGCACTCATCCCAGAGTCAGTGCAATCTATGTCGTTTACAAAAATTACACGATTCGACCTACTGCAGATATTGATGTTTTTTAGTTTTTTACCATCATGTTTAAAGGTAACCTCTCCTTCAAATGAAAGCACTTAACCTTTTTTAAAGATCAATTAAGTAACTCATGCGATTGAAAATATTTCACGGTCCGAAGACAGATTTTCAAGTTGCATTATATCTCAGCAGATGTGAGTTCATGCCAGTATTAATATTTGTTTGTAATACCAAAGATTTTGTTTTCCCTAAATGTTTTCGATATCATGTTTTTTTCAAAGCATATATTTAGCTTCTCATGACTCGCATACTCTCTATCCTTTAGGTGTGATGAACTGTTTTGTTCAAAAATCCGGTCTTAGTTAACTTAGTTAGTGAACAATTGACTTAATTGTAGCACTAGTTATATTGGTAAGTATTTTACCTCACCGAAGCATCCATGAAAGGCGCAACTGCAGGAATGTGTATCTTGGTTTGCGGCGTGACAGATTTCCTATCATATTTTATTTTCTACCGGGAAAAGTATGGAACATCTTTTCTTGAAAACTTTGGTGATTTTCTTCTCTAATTGAAAAATATTCTGTTGAAATTTCAAACTATGATCTTGGTTTAGTCTCCTTTGAAAAAAGAAAAAAGGAGCTAGACATCGCAATCAAGATATGCATTTTTGCAGCTTTACCGCCAAGATTTTATTTTTAACTGACTTTTGGCATGCAAGCTGGAGAACAATTTGCCAAGCTTCAAAACATTTTCTTCTGGAACGGTTTTCCTTTTTTGCGGCTAATGAAATAAATCATTTCATTATCCAGGCGTACCTAGTTAGAAATCATTTTGAACAAATTTTTAGGTGGTTAAACTTACAATGATAATTATTTACATGTATCGATAAGAAAATCAAAATTTATTGAGTATCAGAAAGGTTTGAGAAATTTTGAAGGTATGAAACTGTACTTAACCTTTTTTTATCTTTATTATTAAATAAAATACCAAATTTTAGTTTACTTTTTGTGAGATTTTAGATTAATGTTTAGTTTTGATCTTATAGTTTTTTTTTAAAAAATTCTGTTTGTCTGCTGAATATTTGCCTTGAGGTAGTTGAAGCAACTTTAAAAAAAATATTCCCCCATTCTCCCTCCTGCAGAATCCTCCTCAAAGGCAAACTGACAACGTTTTATTTCTCGACCCTTTCATGTGCTATCCATAAACTGTACCTCACACAGAGTGATTGATACCTTTCATAAAAACCAGAACAAATAAATCCAAAGGATCAAGGTTTAACTTACCTCTGCAATGACTTTTAACTTGAGATTATTTTGTATACTTAAGTTAGAACAAGGCACCAAACATACCTCAATAAAATGTGAACAAATTTTTATCTCTCCTTTTTTTGGTAGTAATTTTACGAATTGAAGTTATGAAACTGATAGATAACATACTAATTTTAGAAAAAACCCTGAACTTCTTTTAGCAACCTCCAAAGGATCACATTTACTTATTTTGATGACTGTAAGCCTCAGTAGAATTAAGAATGTAATGATTAGATGCTATTTCTGTTTCAATTCCAAAGAGAAAAATTATAGGTTTTGGATTTAAATCGATAATTTTGACCATTAAGTCAATTGTTATCAAATCGAGATCCCGGCTCATACGGAAAGCGATGACATATCTCATATGATAGTTTTGATGGGACCCGAATAAAAATCTGTTCCATCTAAAACTCAAACTAATCAAAATTCCATTGTACACGATAAAAAGGCAGGAATTTTTATCACCTCGTCCTTCTCTCTCTACCGAAGCAAATACAGTATACAACCTCTGAAGTAAAAAAACATTTGTATTAAATTTATGACATTTAGAAAAGACAATGTTTGTTAAAAAGAACAAACTTTCACTTCATTTGATTTAGTCTACTCATCTCTCGTGTAAATGACATGTACATTTTTCTCTCAGTTTCCAAGTATATACAACAAACATACATTAAAGTGTATTGAATTCATAAAGGAAAGCAAGTTTTGAAAAACTACTTACGTCTCTTGTCTTAGAATCAATATTGATGATGAAAATCAAAAGAGGAGTCGAAACAAAACAAAAAATGGTAACAGAATTGACTATGCTCATACATTGCCTTTTTGTCTTTTAATTCATTTTTAATATTAAGGCCTATAAAATCGTGAATGATCTGAACCGGTCCTAGAAGTGCATGAACGCTATGTTTTTACAATAGTCAATTAACTGTCTACAATGTTTTTATCATGGTTTCAGGTCAACCAAATTACTGTGCCTTCAAGAGACTGTTACTTTCCAAGACACTTACTGTGTTATTGATGTTTGCCAATGCATGTGTTTTTTTTAATTCTTCATGTCAACATGTAGATAGTTACAAAAGGCTCATATAAGTGAACACAAAAAAACATCTTCTTCCTTTTCCCCACCTAATGTAATGTTATGGAAGGATATTATTGTGGTTTTTATAATTTTCAATACTTTTCTACTTTTTTAATCAAGGAGTATTTGGATGTAATACAGTTAAATAAATCTAACTTTTTTTTAAGAATTATTACTGTGGGTTGGTTGTGCAGTTTCCGGAAGTATTGGAATTCTCAAAACGAGTGCAAAAGAACGAAATCTTTATAAATACTAATGTACATTAAATACAAACAGAGATGTTGTTCTATGAAAACATGGTAGATGACGTCATCAACGATTGTTTGGATATTACTAAGTAGTAATCCATGAAATTTAACTATAACAACAAATCTCCGAAACATGCACAATTGACCCATTAAATATTGCTCAGATTTTCTTCATCCAAAAAGCCTTAAGGACTTAGATGGCATTATTACAAAAAAAAAAAACAAACAAACAAACAACTTATCCCATCTATAGCAGCCTGCCTGCTCAAGGGGATCAAAAGTCCTGTAAGCTGACTGAAATTTATGTCAGGTTGGTTTCATGTGCATGTAGACTACCTGTTAAGTTTTCAGGTGGACTGCGATAGTTCTTGTATAGATCAGATCCCACAATATATTTTTAAATTTCATTTGCCTCTTCTCTTTTTTCTGCCTCAATGTTTGATCAATAGAGGTGTTTTAGTATAATTCAGTATACTTAGATTTTCTTTCGGCAATTTCTATGTGTAACTCTCTCGTGCGTATCCACTTACTTTTTACTTAGAAACATGATTTGGTTGAAAATCAAATATGAAAAAGACTGATTGTTCCTCTTGTTTTCAAATGCAACTCAAGTTAGAAATGCCTTCATTAACTAAAGGGCTAATTTTATAGTTCTGCTCTAATAGGAATTATTTTGTCAATGATTCAATTAAAAAAATTTAGGAGGGATTTTCTCGCAATAAGAATTCACAGCCAGTAACTACTCTAATCATAGCATTTTTATATTATACCTGATGATGTTAAGCCAGTGGTGTGACTGCAAGTATCTTTTATATCTTGATTATCTGATGAATTGCGGCAGAAGCTCAAGCTGGATACTAGAAACGCTGTATAATTGGAAATCCTTATGAAAAATTAAAACCACATGAAACATGTATTGAAAAAACAAACAAAATTAATAATAGAACGAAAAAAAAAAATGAATAAATAATGTGTCAACTTACCTCATTGTCACGCTCGATAACTAGAGAGGCGGATAAGTGATCAGCGGATAATCAAGGTATTACTGTCTGCATTACGCTCCATCAGAATGTCACATTTTTCAAATTTTTAGCAGGTCACACATTCACACCTCTTGTCGTTAACATCATTATTTTGGTGTATTCCGATAATATTTTAAATATATTCTGTACAGAATTTGAAAGCAGAGTCCGTAAATGGAAGAGTTAATTTTCATTACTGCATTTCTTGTGTCTGCAAAAAACTTTTCAACCTGCTATACCAATACTTCAGAAAGTTTTTTCTCACCGCATGCATTTCGAATCTCGCTCTACCTTCTTTTTTTTAAAGTAATTTAGATCGTAAACGATTTAAGAAGTTAGTATCTTATTTTGTCCTCTCTATTTTTATTTTCTTTTAATCAAATGTTTTATCTGAAAAATGTATACCTATTTTGAAGTTTCTCAAGGGCTATTAATTCACAAATTTCATCTAGTGTAGCAACATTAATTATCGCCTTACTTAAATTTACTTGTAATAAGGTTCCTGTTACTATCTCTTCCAACAATTTTAGTTCGGAAGCTGCAAAGGTCTAAAACTATCTGTTCAGGAAATCTCATTATCATAGTGTTGGAGGATGAAAAATTCTCAAGCTGATGTTTAATTTTTTTGCAAGAATCTCCTATTTGTTAATCTTTTATACGATCATTCATTTTATGTGTGTTTGTAAGAGTCGTCCAGAATTTTTTCAACTTCCTCAAGCAATTATCGTTTGTCCAGTAGATTTTTAGTGGGACTCGTAGAAGTTATTTTCCATCAATGAACCAAAAAAGAGGCTGTAATGCCTGAACCTTTTTATATCTCTCTCAAACCAAATTGCATTTTTTGCTTTGAAAACCGATTAAAGAGTTAATTTATATGTATATGATGAAAATCATAGTCTCCTTTATTTTTTGTCTTCGTTTGTCTGTTTGACAAGAAGAAAAGAAGAAACCATGACTCGTCAAAAATAAGAATGTATGTACTAGAAAATTTCAAAGAAAGGGGTGAAACTTCCTGTGCAATGAACGGGGTAATCTTGTCAAAAAATTGTTGAATTTAAAAACTACTATTGGATTTTATTATCTTGATGATTTTTATTGGTCAAAATGCTCTAGGCTTTTGTATCATATATTGCAATTTATATGTAAGAAAAATGTTTGAATAGTTTTGTAACATAATTTATTTCGAAAGTTTTTTTTCTTTTTCTGCAAATTTTACGAATTTAAAAATTCTAGAACAAATAAATAGAAGAAAAAAAGAAAAAAAATTGTTTGCTTTTTGACGTGCACCTTTTGGCTTCCCCTCTCATCATTCTTTTTGCTGACTATTTTTGCATTCTTGGCTCCTCCCCCCCTCCTTAAAATTCATTGATCTCTTTGAATGCCCCAAATTGATTAAACAAGTTTCGCGTCTAAATTTTTTAAAATAGATTACATATTCAAGATTCAAACTTATGTAACTGGTAGACATACTCCAACTTTTTTTAAGCACCCACAATGGACATTGTTTCAACGAGCCAAAAGTAAAGGATTTTCGAGAACTTTCAAATGCTTCTCAATAAAAACTGATCATTACAGACTTCTAGAAAGTCTGGTTTAATATGTTGGAGACTTTTCCCCCTTAACATTGAAGACATTTCTTCCCTTTGTGTGTTGATAACCTCTCCATGAGGAAAGTATTTTACCGGCTGATGAATCTTTGTTTGCACAAAATTACAGGAAAATCTATATGACTTACAAAATTCACTTTGATTCGCCTTAACTTTTATGCGGCAATTTTTTCTTCCGGAATGTTGTGCATATGCTCACTTGAAACAGGTAGTGTAGGAACATGTCTCTCCTTCTTTCAAGGCGTCTTGCTTGTAATATAGTAATGTGATCCGTCGGAAGCATAAACCATGTTCATGCTTGCCAACTTTAACAGAATGCGTTACTTTATCATTTTCAATTGCCTTCAAAAAAGAATGTCCCTCCCTGAATTCAGCTCGCAAGCACCTCTGCAGAAACTATTGCCTGATAGAAAATTGAAGGTGAAACAAATAATTCAGAAAGCCATGCATTATTGTACCATTTATAAAATTTGCTTGGGCCAAGACACAGTAATCAGGAACTATCACCTGAATATAATTTGAACAAATGTCATGTGTGCTCTGAAATGTAAAATTAGTTTTAATTGCCAGATTAGTAAGTAAAGGAAATGCAATGGAGGTCAGCAGTAGTACTTATAAAGCATATTAAACTGATGACACCATCCCTGTTTAATTTCTCCCCAACGTACTATCGTTCGAATTGTCATTGCGCCTACATCCTATTCTGATTTAAAGTATAGTTTGCACCTTGGAATCTCCTTACTTTAAAAACTTGAAAATTCCAGAGAGAAGCAAATTCATATATCGACGGTGTAAGTCGGCAATCACATAAATTGTTTGCGGTGTCTGAAAATCTCCGCCGCAATGTTATTTTTTTAAAGTAGAACAAATTGAAATCATTCCTTGAAGTTTTTGCAGAATTTTCCTCGCATAGAGAAGGAAAATCAAGGCAGTTTTGAAGAATTGCCGTTGAGTAGTTTTCGGTGTAAAAAATGAAGTATGGCAGGAAGTCTGCGACGTCGCAAACCGAGTTATGTGATTGCCGACTTACACCGTCGATATGCTTATAAGGAGATCCTAAGTCTAGAAAGACAGAAGGGCATTTAAATTCTGGTTGTTGAATTTTTCAGAAAAGATTCTCAGAATCTGTGAAAGACATTCATTTTCCGAAATTTTATTGGAAAATTCCCGCTGTTTCTTCATGTTTTTTATCCCAAGAATACAAATGAATGTTGCGGTTTAAAATTTTTACTATAGAATCTGCGCAAGGCGAAGAGGACACGTTTAAATTCCGAAAATTGTGTCCTTTTTTTTCGACAGCAACTCAGTGTACGCAGAATCTGCAACGTCTCATTACCAAAATCGCTATCATTGCACCAGCTAGTGTGTGCAACACGTAGTATCCACACACGCATGTTGCACAATAGGTTGCATACCCAGCAATCTTGAAGGCTGTGGCCGCTCAAGAAGTCGTTTCTAATGACGTCACAAATGTAAACAAAAAAAAGAAACTTCAGCTCCCCTCCAGAACTTACCCCTCCAAATGCTCCTAATACTACCCTCACTCCCCCTCCTACCCTCCCTCCTTTGCGCTACGTGCCCCTCTCGTTCTCTTTTCTGCTCTCGGATTGGTTGATCATTATGACGTAGCTAAAATGGCGATCCAAAATGCTCCAATCTTCTCCATGCTGGCGACTCGCAGAACGCAGACTTTCTTTCGAACGCAACCTGCGCAACTTGTCGCTTGTGCGTTGTTTTCTTTCAGAGAATCGTGGTTTGTCTTGCTGCAGTTGTTATTCGTGGTTATTTATTCGTAAATCTACCTGCTTCCAGTCTCGCATTCTGTTCATTTTGTCGAAGTTTGACACTTTGCAATTTCTAGTCTCATCCTAAGACTTATTTGTGCCTATTTACCAATTTTATCAACCAAGAAACGATGGATTCTGCCGATCACAACCAAGATGTTGCTTCCCTCCCTGGTCTCCACCGTCTTTGGGCTCTCAGAAGACATGCCAGTGGACTCGTCAAAGAAGAAGAGCATGATATCCTAGATGTTGAAAGCTTTCCTCCAGCTCAGGTCAATATTTTTTCTCTTTTATCCGTCTCAGAGGACAGCGGTTTGATCTCATGTTTGTGCATGCCAACCACATTGTACCCCGAGGACGTACAGGAAGGTTCTAGAAGATGAAGTTCAAGAGATTGTAACATCCATCGTTTATTAGTTAAAGCATTGTGCATTGTATTGTCTATGTTTCATTCAGCATATTTTCAGACATAATTATTTAGAAGGGAGAAACAAGCTCGTTTGCCCTGAGCCCCAGTTCTATCAAGGGTACTTAGACCGGGATTGAAAAATCAACCGAGAAAATCGGCTTCAATGCTTGAACTGGCCCATTTTCCCTGGTTTTTGGCTGGTTGAGGAGATAAACAAGTCCACAATTATCTTGACCGGCCCACGAAAATTATTCTTGGCCTTTCCGCCTGCCTGTACGCTCCTGAGTTCAATGAACATCTTTCCATTAAATGACCTTATTCTGAAGACCCCAGAATCAAGTTTGAGAGAGAATCATTTGGACGTATTTCTATCAAACGGAACTATGTACATTAAGACATGAGCCCTGCTGGCTGATTATTGAAATTGATAGACAAAGCTATAGACAAAGAAGACATAGGGGGTATAAAGCAATCCTATTGGTTGAGATGGGTGGTTCTCATAGACTAAGGGGGGAAATGATAGACTAACTGTCGGGTCTCTCGTGGGTTGCTGTTAGTTAGTCTATTACCTACCTCCGTTGTCCATTGCAACCACCCATCTGAACCAAGAGGATTGCTTTATACCCCCTATGTCTTCTTTGTCTATTGCTTTGTCCATCAATTTCAATAATCAACCCGCTGAGACCCATAAGAATATGTGCATAACAGGGCTCATGTCATAATGCCCATAGTTCCGTTTGATGAAAACACGCTCATTTGACCTGCTGGATACCATAATTACTTGCTTGATTGAAGAGTGATTTTGATCTGTAGTCACCTAGTTTCACCTAGTCTAAATTTCAGAAAGAGTGCCCTGGGCCTGCAACCAGCAATCACTAAGGAATTGGTGAGGACACTCGAGAGAAGGGGGTACAGATGTGATTCTGAGACAAAGGAAATCGCATTTCTTTTGCGTTGAGCCACGTATATAACCATGTTTTGCCTAAACACCCAGTATCAAAGGTTACTAAGCTTGGCTTAGAACTTGACCGATAGCCATAATAAGGGTACTCACTTTTAACAGGAGATTTCAGAATGAAAAATTTAGTGAGATCAAATAACTCCAGTTTGTCTTGTCTTTTACACTTTATCTGTTGGACAGACTACGTTAAAAAAAGTGTAAATCCCTATGTTGACCAAGAAGAATTTAGTTTTGTCACAAATAGGAATTCTGAATTGACTTAGAGGGTGATCTTTAATCATACTGTAGAAATTGGGAAAGTTTGAGTGGGTCAGCTGTATTCCACAAGAATTTTCATAGGAAGTCTTGTTTCTACTGTCTTGCTTATTGGCAGTTACTTATCCAAGAAAAAACAAAAAAAAAAAGCCAAGGATATCTGTCAAGACACCCCAATAGGAATTTTTTTGCATAGTAGGGACGAGGTAGTGCGAGAGCGAAGATTCTAGATGAAAAGTCACGATTAGCCACTTTAATCCTGGGGGTAGACACCTAATTTTCAAAATTGTCTAGAAGCCCCCAGACTCCTTACTTTAAAGGAATGCTCCTATCTTAAACATTTGACCTCCTTGTCATCCCCCCAAAAAAGGAATTATTGCTCTTGGAATGCTTTTAATGAATTCCTGAAGTCACCTACTTTTCTAGTCATAGTTACATTGTCACTTCTGTGGTAAAAAGTAGATCTATTCCAGAAATGTAACATTGTAGCTTTGATTAGAGAAGTTGGTGAGATAAGGAATCCTCTATGAGTGCTTTAAGTGCTAGGATTCTCTCTTTCTCCGTGCAGTTCAAATCTAAGGTGTCTAGGATCTCTAAGAACTGTGAAACACTAGGATTCATTAGGGAATGAATAATATCCGGAAAAATCAGGGGATTAATCAGGAAATCGGTGCTAAAAAACCGGAAATTAACATTTTTTTCAATGTCAGAAGTACTTTTAAAATTGGTAGTTTTGGTTGACTTGCCTTGTAGAATCAGGCAAAAGGTGAGAAACTTAATTTTCGAAGAGAATCTAGAGGAAAAGGAATGGAAATCCAAGGTGCTTTTCAAGGAATTCTTCCGTGAAAAACGGGGGATATGGGCAGAGGGAGCTGCCCCTTCCCCTGAAATCTACTTGGCCTCTTCCAAGAAATGTGAGAGATTTTGCTGAGTAAGTGCATGGAGTACCTTTCACCCTGAATATTGTAATTTGATCAATTTTTTGGCGAGAGCAACAATTGGATTACATTTTGCATGAACACTGGAAAAAAAAGTTGCTTGGATCTAGAGTCCAGACTCTTCAAAACATTGACAAGAAGAAGTACTCTTGATTCAATCAGATTTTTCCTTGAATCGAAGAGCCAAGCCTCTTGATTCAAGCGGATATCCTTTTGATTCAAGCAAAAATCCGATTAAATCAAAAGTATTTTTTCTTGTCAATGTTTTTCTGAGTCTGGACTCTAGATCCAAGCTACTTTTTTTCCAGTGAAGGAACCACTGTCTCTGGTTATCTCTCATAAAAGCACATATCTGCATAGAGAAACTATTGGCATGTACGTGTTTCTAAAATCGGCCAGAAATAGTGGTTCCTTACTGCAAAATGTAATCCAATTGCTCCTTAGACTTCTCAGTTTTTCTGGGGGAGGTGTGGCCCTTCGGACCCTCCTCTGAAGCCACGGAAATCTCACGAATTCTCTTTGGGAACTGAGGGAGCGCCGCAGACCCCCATTGGCAGGGTGTCTTTTTGTGCCCTTTCTCGAACCCCCCGGTCCGCGCCTTCCTGCCCATCCTCCCCTATTTCGCCCGAAAGTTCCCATGATGAGGGAAATAATTTCATAGTAAATAAAACATCAAGATCTTTTGACACCGCGCTCAAATCCCACCTCCCGGAATGTCCGTGTTCTGTACACTGATCCCAGCCACGTTGCGTTGCCCCCTCAGTTCTTCTCGCGGGGCTTGGCTCGAACACTTTCGATTTCGGTTTGTTTACTCTCAGCGTAGCAGGTTGCGACGCATGCACCGATAGGTTAGATTAGATGCAGTGGACGGACTGCATAGTAACTTTGACATTGACCCGCGTGCGGTATGCGCGGCGACGGCGGCGTGGCATCACGGTTTTCCGTTCGGAAGTGTGTTTATTTTAATAATGCAGCTCCGGTCGGGTCTATAAATAACCCGTCCGTTCGGCATCTCGATCATGTGCTCAGCGCGTGGAACGACCGACCAGCCTCCTGCGTAGTAGTGCGTAGTACGAGCTTCAAGACGCTAGTGTGGCTGCCAGATATTGCTGAAAAATATGAACTTTTTCTCGTTGAGCCCATGTAAAATAGCCACATTTTATCGCTTAATCTGGCAACTTTGCAGCTGAGCCGCGTATTTTACACGTCAGACGTCGGATGCGTTGTCGAAGCCAACAACGATCGCCCGAACAAAATCACCCGGGGCCGAACTTTATCCGTACTTAAGCATACTTAAGACGAGTCTTGGCTGCACTTAATTCCGGCTCACCGCTTCTGATTGGCCGGTGGTGCGGATTGGACTCATCCATCTTCGTGTGGCAGAGCCGACAAAATTCGGCTACAGATGGCCGTTCAGTGACGGAATGAATGTCGTCCAAATCTCATGGCTTCACCCGGTTAAGATGGCTGCCCAACAAGGTGGACAACAAGGGCATGTCAAGAATCTTGGCCGGGTATTGCCGCCAGGCGCCAGGCTCTTACTTTGTTATTATTTACGTTTATTTCTGACGTCATGACGAAGTATCCTTCAGCATGAGCTTTGAGATGACGTCAGTCGCAGCCATTTTTGTTGGCGATTCTTTTGGGTTCAATGATGCAACTTGCCAACTCGCGGATCAATTCACGATCTGCCCAGCAGACATCGGCGGAACTGCAAGGATACTCTAAAACGGCATGACTCATAACCTTGTCAAAAGGGGGGCTAAAGGGACTCTATGGGGGCTGGGATACCTACCAACTTCGCAACTGTTGTGAACACACCTGGGTTACATTAGACTAAAATTTGACTTCATATGTTGCTTTAATAATGAAGGTCGTTAAATTGTATAATCGACGGAGTTTAATTTTAATCGGGTCAGCGCCAGCGAAATTCACCATCAACGACCTCAGATAACCTATATTTGAGCAACATTCACTCACTTAAAATGACTTTTACTCGTTTAACGAGGCCTTTTTGTGCGGAGTTTATTTAAGTCTTTACGTAGGGAAACGTAAATTCACCTCCAACCACAATTTTTTCAGATCCACGATGTCTATTTTTTGTAGTGAATAATAGGAAGTATCGCTAGGAACACTGGCGTATAAAATGAGTAATTTGCCAGGCGTAGCATTATCTCCAATGATATAATCAACTGTCATTTCTCGTAATCACTGACTTCTTACGTGAAGTCAGTGAACTTCCACGTTCCCCGCCTTCGCGGAATTTCAAGATAACGAGAAGATTTTCCTCTATTTTCAAGGAATTCAAATCGCCTAACACCCGTCTGTTAGTGCTTGAGGAAGCGACGTTCTATTCCGTTTGAAAATCGATCTGTTGAACGCGGTGGAATGACCGTCTTGTTCATACTGCAAAATAGGGGGTGGCAAAGGTTAAGATATTTCTAATAAGTAAGACCTGGATAGGTCAAGTTATTTCTCATTCGAATCGTTCCGAAAAAAATGCCGTGGAATTTTGAAGTTTGTTCGGACTTAACGTCCAGAACACGCAAAATTATCCAACCATATCGCCATATCACGTGCAATCGTATGACTTCAATTAAATTAGCTCTATGTATGAAAATATGTTTGCGACGTTTGTCACAGGGGCACATCATAAACATGGGGCATTTTGGAGGACTGCGAAAAATAATATTTCGACGGTGAAACTAC